AAAAAATAAAGTTTTCAAATAACATATGGCTAATAAAAGTAATATATTCACCCAACTTTAAATAAAAATATTGTATTAATATATTCATGATTATACTTTGAAGAATGTTGGAAAATTTAAAACAAATTTAAAACAAATTTACCGATCAAAAAACGAAAAATTAAAAAACTAAATTTTTTTTTTTTAATTATAAAACTTTAACTTTAATTGTTAAAACTGTTTGTTGATTTTGTTGGTTGATGCAACAACAACAACAATAACAACAACAACAACAACAGCAGCAACAACAACAACAACAACAACAACAACAACAACAACAACAACAACAACAACAACAACAACAACAACAACAACAACAACAACAACAACAACAACAAAAGCAACAACAACAACAACAATAACAACAACAGTAGCAAGACATGTTTGGTTGGTTGATGCTATTTTATAAAATTAGATTGGTTAAACTTATTTTGCGTAGTTCCACTTCAAAAATGGCAAGAAAGTTCGAAGTACCCGAAATAATTTGAAATTATTAAACTGAATATAAGTAAATTTCTTTTGATTTTTCATATATATTTTTTTTGCATAAAAACGCATCTTGATGGACTAGTAAAGTTACTGGTTAATAAAAAATAAAAAACAAAAAGCAAAAACTTGACTAATGTTTTTAAATATTTTACTAATATTTTGCAAGAAAATTTGCAAAGAATTTTTAAAAGTGATTTTTTAACCAATGAAATATCGAAACTGATATTTTTCAAGTTTTTCTACTGAAGGTGTTCTCAACTATAACAGCAGATTTTATGACACCACTATAAACTTTGTTTATTATTTGAGAGAAAATTTGTTCGTGTAATGATAGACTTAGTAAAGGACGCAAAAAAGTTTGGTCATATATGTCAATCAGTAAAACCACTCCCCAGATTTTTTTATTGGCTTATACACGGCGCATTATAAGTGGCCAAATTACCAAATCACTTAAAACAAATGTACACCATGTTATTTGAGAGAAAATTTGTTCGTTTAATAAAAGACTTAATAAAGGACGCAAAAAAATTTTATTTTTATATAGATTTTTACTTAAATTCATTGGTATAAAAATTTAAAAATTACAGAACTTTTACATACACACACACACACACACACACACACACACACACACACACACACACACACACACACACACACACACACAAACACACACACATATGGTAGTTAAGTTTGTAGTTGCTTTAATTAACTACAAGTTATGCTTCTCATCTGTTCAATAAGAATACGCAAATCAATATGAGACGCAATAAGAATTTTTGTTGGGTAAAACTATTTTTGTATGTCGTATTTGTAGTGTCTATTTTGAACCCGAAGTTGACATTTTGTCTTTGTATTATTTTAGATTTATTCTTTGTCTTTAAGTGTAGCGGATAATTTGGATTTCGTAGAATTTGATTTAGGATTTTTATACATATGTTGTCAATGTGCGAATTAGTGTTTTCGATGTTATTTTTGGTTCTCGCGATTTCTGGACTTATACTTCTAGGTTTTAGCGTTTTTAGCAAAAAAAATTTTATATTTATTTTAAATTTATGTTTATAGCTAATAGTAATAAGCAAACTATTAAAGTACAAATAAGCTAATTAATAAAACTTGATAACCCTTTTGAATTTGACATTCCTTAATCACTACATGACATGCGCATCGATAAAGGCGTACATTCATTTTTAATGTGATTATATGCAAACAAAGGAAATATATTAGAACAACAAGAATCATTAATATATTGAGTTAAAAACATTGTTTTGAAGTTTAATAAACATTTTAAAACAGTCAAACAACTCCTGGCTGAGTTATTTTGAAAAATATTTTCAAAGGTTGTTGAAGAATCCAAATATCATAAACTTAAAGAATCTAATTGATTTATTCTTTAAAAAACAATCCGAGTAATCGTTTTACATACATTCAGCTAAATTCAGATATACAATAAATAAAATTTATCAGTAGAAGGCGTTATTTTGTGTTTAAAATTGAAATTTGAACTCTTTTTCCATAATAATTATTAATAATTTTAATGTCATTACTATTATTATTATTATTATTATTATTATTATTATTATTATTATTATATATGACACAATTGTATTAAGTTTTTTATCATCTCCATAATTTTAATGTCATCGCCATATTAACAGTGCGTATACTAAGATCATTTGGACTTAAAAATTGTTTTTAAAAAGGAGGTTCTTTTATTAGTTTTTTAGAGCTTTGTCTTTTTACTGAAATAGTGCATTTTTTGAAAAAGGGCTTTTTTTTTTACAAATAACTATATTGATATAAAATCAACCGACTCAGTAAACCCCTTTTTGCCTGTCCCAAAACTTTTATGCTCATTTACAGCACTGGGATAAACTGTGAAATAACAATGTAAATTAGTACGTTACGCTATTTTTTACTAGTTCTAACTTTTTTAATCTACGAAGAATATATAATTAAATAAATTGGAAAATAAATTTTGTTTTATATTATTTTGATGATAAACATTGCATTATATGCAGTTACATTACATTACAAGGTACTGAAATCTGGACAATGAGTGTAATTGCAATCCTTTGAGTGTTATTGTAATAAATCTTTAACAGTATCTTTTATTATCATTATGGCATTTATTATTATTCTTTTTAAATCACTAGAGAATTTGTTTATAAATTGTATTGTAGCTATATATAGCAATATCTTACCGTCTAGAAAATTCAACACACAATGTATATATATACATATATATATATATATATATATATATATATATATATATATATATATATATATATATATATATATATATATATATATATATATATATATATATATATATATATATATATATATATATATATATATATATATATATATATATATATATATATATATATATATATATATATATATATATATATATATATATATATATATATATATATGTATATATATATATATATATATACATATATATATATATATATATATATATATATATATATATATATATATATATATATATATATATATATATATATATATAAGTAAATAATACCAAAGGTTTAATTGAGTGTTCTTTTGTATGAGTGTATGTAGGTAAGCAATGGCCGATATTTTTCTAAAAGTTTATTAAATTCTAAATTTAGCTTGTATTTCAAGTAAATTCAGGTAACAACCCTTATTAAAGTAAAGTCTGTTTAAGATAATGAAAGAAAACAATCGGTTAACTAATTAGATGTAAAAGTGGTTCTACTAAAACGTAATTAGTATATACTTTAGCGCGGTTGTATTTTCTAACTAATGTCTTTTTTTTTATCTGAACAGTTTACTTTTCCTGTTTGTTAGCAATGTACTTGCTCAAGTTGCTTAAACACCAACAACTTTGTTAGCAATTTACTTGCATTTAAATTTATAGAGTTTATAGAATAGAATTTTAAGATCTTTTACTTCATTATTTGCTACCTTTTTTTCCATTTAAAGCTTACAACAATATTACTAATGCATTGCATGATGCTTTGGGCGGTATGTATAGAAGTGTTTGTAAAGCATTTATGATTAAAACAGTCATATAAACAGCAAAAATAATGAGACAGAAAAGTGAAAAAACGATGACCTGCACAGATTTCTGTTGATGGTTTATGGCAAAAGAGAAGAGACAGCTCACTGAACATCCTAAGGACATTTTGTATTTAGAAAAACTATTCAAGTATTTTTTTTTTTGCATTATGAATATTAATGATGGTAAATTTGGTTTAGGACCAATAATATAAAAATTTGGATTGCCAGTTCACAGTTTATGATTAATGCATTTGTTGAAAGTTATACAGAGCGCATGAATAACATTCATAGAAAACAACCAAAGATCAACATCATCAACAAAAGGCGTATATGTTTAAAGAAAATTAAAAGTCGCTAGACACGGATTTTATCATAAATTAAAAGAGTATGGAGAGAATCATGCTTATTGTGCAGGCATATTATGCATATTAATGAGTTCATAAAATTTTTGTTAGTTTAATTTTGTGCTTTTCTCAGTTTTCAATATTTATCGATTTTGTTAACTTAAAAACATAATATCTCAAAATCAACATAAACTTTTAGGTTGAAATTTTCACAGTATTTTCTTTATTTATAATGGCAGGAGTTGAACTAAAACTGATGTTTTACACTAAAAAATTGTCATTTAATGGCACTTTTTAAGGGTATTTCCAATGGAAAATACCATCAACGAGTAAAAAATATCAATATCCTCTTTTTGCATTATAACTTGGTTTTAGTTCATCTTCTGCATTACTACTTAATGAAGAACCAGTGAAAACTTGAAGTCTTGAACTGTTTTAGTTTTTCAGATATTTTGTTTACACAATACAATTTTTTCAGTAATAATCGAGGCAAAAAGGCTTGATAAACATTTATTCAAAGTATTATATTTTGAATAAAAACAAATAAAAAAAGTTCTTGTATATTGTCTTATTCTGAATTTTTTTTACGGGTATGTACCGCCAACTGGTACTAGTACAATGCTAACAAAGATAATCATTACCCCGTAAACGTATTTTTAAAACACAATAGACTGTGAAAGTTTCTACTCAATCTGATGACGGAGAAATAGAATCTAGGCAAAAGGTCGTCCATAAAATACGTCACAATTTTTGACCAGCTTCTCTCCCCATCATCAAAATATCGTATCTATTTAGTAACAAGTTGTCACAAAATCACTAACACCTACCTCCACCTCTAGAGCGTGACGTAATTTATAGACTACCCCCTAACTAAATTTGAAACGATTTTCAATTTTTAATTTAATAGAAATCAGAGGAATGTAGCTCACATTTACACTATCTACAATTTGTTTTTGTATGCACCTCTTAATAAAATTTGTTGACCTTTACAAAAAGTGCTGGGCCTTACTACTTTTTTACATTAAAAGAAATAATATTAACGTTGTTCGAATTACGTTTTTCTTTCAGCTTAAAAAATATATATATAAACGATAACAAGACAAGAAGAAAAAATCGAAGATAAAGTTGAAATAATTACAACTTGAAAAATGGAAAAGGGCATAGCCTTAAAAAACTTTCAAGACGGATCAATATTACTTGATACATTGCATATGAAAGCAGAGGTAAACATAATACTTGTTTTTAAATAACTTTATCATTTGCTTTAGAATATGTATTATTATTTGAGAGAATTTTTGACAAATATACTTTGATACTCTTTGACAAACATAATTAGATTTTAGTTCTTACAGTAAAAAAAAAAAATAACTAGATATTGTTCCCTAGACCGTATAAAACGATTTTTAGAAATTCCGTTCGTAGTTCCCTAAAATGAGCCTTTCATTTTATGATCGGTTAAAGTTATTATTTTTAAAAAATATTTAAAAATAACTGCCATTCAGAAACATTTGGTTATTATTTATAAAAAATAATTTAAAATGATCAATATTAATTCTTAATATGATTTTGATTTTTGAAAAATTTTTTAAAGATTTAAAAACATGTGTAATTTCTAAAACAAGTTTCTCTGTTATTATAGAAAATTAAAATCCTAACAGAACTCGATTATCACCGCTTTTGTTAGATGAAAATTTTTTTTAAAGATAAAGAGGCAAGAAGCCGAAATTCTAAAAAAAGTTTTAATACTTTTTAAAAATAAATTAATACTTCTTTCAACTTAAAGTCTTATAATCATTAAAAGTCATTTCTTGTTATATGATATTATATATATATATATATATATATATATATATATATATATATATATATATATATATATATATACAATATGTAAGTTGATTTTATTAAAAAGGATTACCTGAATTAGGTAAAATTCGGATTTTATCTTCGTATAATATATATATATATATATATATATATATATATATATATATATATATATATATATATATATATATATATATATATATATATATATATATATATATATATATATATATGTATATATATATATATATATATATATATATATATATATATATATATATATATATATATATATATATATATATATATATATATATATATATATATATATATATATATATATATATATATATATATTGGTTAGACAAAATATATAATATATATATTAGTGAGACCAAAAAGAAAATCGTTTCAAGAAGTGCAGAACACCAAAGAGCTTGCAAAAATCAAAAAGGGTCAAGTTCAGGAGATAAAAAAGTTCGATATGAGATAGGTATTGGGGAAGGTGTTCTAAATCGAGATGACGGGGATAAGGTTAAAACACGAACTTGGGGACCCATTTTGACAAAAATTTAACTGACGTCATTATAATATTATTTAATTAGTTTTTATATTTTACGCTTTTTAATGTAATCTTTTTAAACGGTTTGTTTTATGTTATTATGTAACGTTTTATTATTACCTGATGACGCTGACCACAATAGGTCAGCGAAATATCGTTAATATATTTTTACATCAAAATATATTTAAAAATAGCTACATACTGCCTTTTTATTAAAATCAATTTACATATTATATATATATATATATATATATATATATATATATATATATATATATATATATATATATATATATATATATATATATATATATATATATATATATATATATATATATATATATATATATATATATATATATATATATATATATATATATATATATCTCAAAAAAAGTCCGATGTCCGGCACTTATTTTGACCACTGAATATATAAAAAAACAAAAGTAAAAACTCACTTAAAAAAAAAAAAAAACTGAAACAAAAAATAATTTATGCATAAAACATTTTTGCATAATTTATTTTTTATTCGTTTCTTCTTGTTTTACATTTCTAATTTATTATTATATTTTTAATAAGATGAAAAAAAAAAAAAAAAACTTTCATAATAAACATATATAATATAACAATAAACTTCTAATTAAAAAAAAAGCACACAGCATCAATCAACATTTTGAAAACTTGATATAACATATTTTTGGTGTTATACTGTTTCAAATAGAATTATTAAAATTTAAAAAATTATATAAAGTGAAGAAAAAGTTTTAAAAGTTATTACAGAAAATGTTAAGATATTATTATTAAATTAAAAAAATTAAACATAGATTATTATTTAACACAATATAAATAAGACATTAAACCAGGGTCGTCCCGAATAGGGGGTGTCTAACGTTCCCCCCCCCCCCCCCACTAAAGCTGTCATATAAGCTTTTGAGTTGACACATTTAACAAGTATTGAACTATAGATGGCAAACTACAAATATTGAGGGCCTGTTTTTTTTGTTTCTCTAGTTGGCAAAAAATACATACACCCCCCCCCCCTCCATGAGAGACTATTTCGGGACAGCCCTGCATTAAACATAAAACTTATTGGGAAATCAATAAATGATTCATTAATCAATTTTTATTTTTTTTGTCTGTTCTAACCCCCTAAATGTATTCTATATATTAAAATAATATTGAATTTAATATTTATAGGATAGCTCAAACTCAAACCCTAATAATATCAAAAACCCAGTTCATAATAATATCAAAAAGATCTTGAAAAATATTTCAACCTTTTCAGAATAAAAAAAAAATTATTATTTTATAAAAAAAAGTTAAAAAAATTTATCAAAAAACGTTTTTCATTTCTAGTTTAGACAATGTAACAAAATCTTTTAAAATGTAACAAAATCTAACATAATCAATTTTTATATGAAACATTTACAACTTTTAAAAATTTTTATAACTTCGCATTTTTTGACACCCAGGTTGACATAATTTTAAAGAACTTTATTTATTTACAGTATTAGGCACCTGCCTGATGTTTACGAGTCTTGAGCTACCTCAAAAAATAATCTTTGCTAAAAATCTAACATTATTTTATTAGGGTCAGGGTAACAACCTCAGTTTTTGCTATGTCTAATATCATCTGCCTGACAATATCTTTAAATACAATGATGTATAACTACATCTGTCCAACAACATCTGTATATACACTGAAGTATAACAACATGCCTAACAACATCTGAAATTTGGTTGATGTCTAATAATATCTATGTAAAAAGTATAACTACTACAGGTGTAGTTACATCTTTTCAATTATGTTATATATAACTACAGGATTTTATGAAATTATTAAATTATAATGCATTAATTTAACCAGATGTAATTACATATAGGGTTTTTTTTCAGACTTAGTTACATCTGGAAAAAATAATTAAATAGTAATGCATTGATTTAAGCAGGTCTAGTTTCATATATGTTTTTTTTCATATGCAGTTACATTTGGAAAAAATAATAAATAACCAGATGTGGTTACCTTTAAGTTTTTTTCAGGTGTAATTACATCTGGAGGAAATTCTTCCAGATATTGGACTACAGATTTGGAGAAAAATTCCTAGATTTCTAAAGATCTTTCTTTCTAAAGATCTTTTTAGGGGTCATTGAATATCTATATAGAATTGGACAAGTGTTGTTGGAGTTAAAAAAAAAATACAGACCAGACAAAAGTGTACAAATGTTCTTCAACTATTCTACAGATGCAATCTTTTACCATTTATTAGATTTAGTTCTACCTATAATAAAATACAATAAAGTAGTAAAAAAATCTTTAAAGTTTTCTAGGGGTGCAGAGCCGACGACACTGGAGGGTGGGAGGCAGAGGGCACATGCATATAGAAAACTTTTTTTATAAATTGACGATTGTGTCCCCCCCCCCCCACTTCAAAACCAGTGTCGTCGACCCTGGGGTGAAAGTAGACATTTTAACAAAAATTGCTTTTACGAGTAACGCACACACATATATTTGTGGGTGTATATATATATATATATATATATATATATATATATATATATATATATATACACATATATATATATACAAAAAATATTGAAAAGATTACTGTTCCTGCCCAAACCCCTTTATTGATGAAGCAACGCTCTTTGCATATTCTACTTATTTAGTCAGTCGATATACTGAACCCCGATAGCAGGCTATTTCAGTTTGACCTCAAACAGGTATCTAAACATGCAATATAACTTTTATATACTGCTTATATATATATATATATATATATATATATATATATATATATATATATATATATATATATATATATATATATATATATATATATATATATATATATACACCCACACCCACATATAAATGAATGAAAACTGTAGGCTTCGATACAGACAGAGATAAAGATAACAGAAATCAGTATAAAAACAAATATAAAGAACACAATAATAAATGAAAATTTTTAAGATCATAAAAAAAATCAATATTTTGCATTTCATTGAAAGCATTAAACATTTTTTTAATAATAATACATCACTTGATTTTAAGACTTGTATTATTATTACGAGCAACTTGCTTTAGGAAGGAAACCATTAATATACCTATATAACTAAATGTTTTAAGGGTGAAACTAGCTTTTAAGACTTTGAACTTTAGAGTGACATTTTAAGAATAAAAGTCATTTTAAAAATTTTTAATATTTTCTGATATTTTCTTAAAATAAATAAACCAAACTATATCCAACACTTCATCTTTGATTTTATTGATTTTTATTCATGTGAATATTCGTACTCGCATATTGTGAATCTTACTGTTGTACTTAACACGAGGATGGTTGAACATTGTCAAAATCAAACTTATTTTATTAAACAAAAAATTAGACCTCTACTTTTGAATTTAATACAACTTACTCCGTAGACGTCATTTTAATCAATATAATAATAATTATAATCTTTTTTCTATTCTAATTCACTTACAACAAGGCTGCAAGCAACCACTATTAAGTTCGGAGTTACCAGAAAACAAAGAGTAAAGTTAAAGGTCAAGGAAAAGGTTAACAGAAGACTTGAACAGTTGTAGATTGTACGAATTTTAGTAGGTGGTTTAGTATAATTTTTCCACACTGCAAAAACTGAACAAAAACTACATGACACCCATCGTGTATTTACAATTCAATCAATTTTCAGCAGATGAATATTAATTAATTCCCCACATAAATCTAACTCTCTGCTATTTCTATATTCCGTAAAAATCAACGGAAAAAGTCCGTTTAAAAAGTTACAGAACTTTCTCCGTAAAATTCACGGTTTCCGTATTTCATTTTTTCC